TTTCCAAAGGGGGGGGGGGGATATTAACATGTTCTTATGCTCACTGATTTATCAGTGTCATGCTCATACTGTTTTCCTCATCCTTACTATCGTCATTTTTCCTTTACTTTTTTTGTATGTTTGCCACTCTGTTGTGAACTGCTATTTCCGGGGTGCGTTGATAGCCGAAGCAGATTTTATGCTGTTGAAGCTAGAGAGGTGAGCAGAGTAAGCCTGATTCCCCATTTGAACTTCTCATTTGACATCTACCCCATGGCGCTCATATGACCTTATGCAGTTGCGAATGCTAAAAAACTTAATTAAAACAAAACTAAAACGAAGGAAGGGATTTATCAATTTTCATGTCAAGAGAGAGAGTGTATAATACTGGACTACGGAGCAAATGGCCCTGTTTCAAATCCCCAATGCAGAGTTCTGAACTCATTAGGGGTGTTTTGAGGAGTTTTTAAGGTTCTCCACCCATTTGGATTTACTCTTCCAGAGGTGGAAGTTTAATTCAGAGGTTCACATCTTAAAAAACCTTACAGTGTTGAAAGAACATGTCACTGTCAGCAGCGAGTTTCAAATAGAAAGATTAGAACTGTCATTGCACATATCAGGGATAACCGTCCTCAAACAGACACTAACACTGCACTAACAGGATAAAAATACTGCCTGATAATACCAGTCCACAAATCAGTCAAAACCAAAACATTTTTAAAGAAAAATCCCCCACCATACTCTTCGGGCTCATGTGACTTTCTCCTTTGATATTAGGTTTAGAAACTTTTTTGTAGGATGCCGTAATACCTCACTATCAATTAAGTACTCCTGAAAATGACCTATCTTTTGGCTTATAATCTTTTTTTTTGGGGGGGGGGGGATGTTTTACGGCGCTGACAATTCAATAACTGCATAAGGCCATAAAATGATTCACAAGGCCACTTGGGTCTCCTCGGGCGGAACAACGGAAAACCAGATTGACCACTTTTGCATCTCCCGAAAGTTTAGACGCTCACTGGAAGACGTCCGAGTCTTACGAGGATCAGACGTCGCATCAGACCACCATTTGATCCTTGGAAAGATGAAACTAAAACTGAGAAGATACGCACAAGTCACAGCTGGAAATCGTCTAAAGTATGAAGTGAGCCTTCTGAAAGACCCAGTAAAGAAGAATGAGTTGTTCAAGTTTGAACTGAAGAACAGATTTCAAACCCTTCAAGATCTAGATGAATGTGAAGTCAACGAACACTGGGATAACATAAGAGAGGCAGTAAACGCAACTTGTCAGAGCACCCTAGGACCCAAAGACAACACCAGGAATGAATGGATTTCACAAGACTCTCTAGACAAAGTCAAAAGAAGAAGAGAGCTCAAGGCCCAAGTCAACAACAGCCGTACCCGAACTGAGAAACTCGCTGCACAACAAGAGCACACCGAAGTAAACCGGGAGGTAAAGAATTCCATCAAGAAGGACAAGAATACCTATCTGAATGGCCTGGCCGAAAAGGCTGAGAAAGCAGCAACAGACGGGCACTTACGGATTGTACACCAGACTACAAGAACTCTTTCAGGTAGGTTCAGCAAGCCCACTCTACCAGTGAAAGACAAAGAGGGAAAGACTATCTTCAACCCAGAGGGGCAACTCAACCGATGGAGAGAACACATTGATCAACTATTGAACAGACCACCTCCATAAAACCAACCAGAAATTCTTCCAGCCAGAAATGACCTCCCAATAGTCACGGAACCACCTTCAAGAGAGGAAATTGCAGCCGCTATAACAACACTGAAGTCCCACAAGGCAGCTGGTCCCGACCATATACCACCGGAAGCCCTTAAGGCAGAGAAAGATAGGTTTGTGGAAATTCTCTATGCTCTGTTTGAAAAGGTTTGGCAAAATGAGGAAATACCATCAGACTGGAAGGAAGGACACCTAATCAAGCTGCCAAAGAAAGGAGATCTCAGCAATTGTAACAACTACAGAGGCATTACACTCCTGTCCATACCTGGGAAAGTCTTAAACAGGATACTCCTGGGGAGAATCAAGCTGGCAACAGATGAGAAGCTTCGAGGAAACCAGGCAAGATTTCGCAAAAACCGATCATGTGTGGACCAGATCGCTACTCTGCGTATCATTGTTGAGCAATCGCTTGAATGGAACTCTCCACTCGTGGTCAACTTCATTGACTATGAAAAGGCGTTTGACAGCGTGAACAGGTAAACTCTGTGGAAACTCATGCGGCATTTTGGAAAACCTGAGAAAATCGTCAAGCTTGTGAAGGCCACCTATGATGGAACAAAATGCCAAGTCTTCCACGAAGGACAACTCTCAGAACCATTCCAGGTACAGACAGGAGTGCGACAAGGATGCTTGCTCTCACCTTTCCTCTTCATACTGGCAATTGACTGGGTCATGAAAGAAGCCACCAGAGGCAAACGTAATGGAATACAATGGATCCCTTGGCAGCAGCTGGACTACTTAGACTTCGACGATTACCTTGCGCTGCTCTCTCACACACATGCTCAGATGCAAGAAAAGACCAAGGAACTCAACAGGCTATCAAGGAGTGTTGGCCTACGTATACATCCAGGCAAGTCAAAAGTAGTGAAGCTAGGAAAAGTTTCAAGCCCTGCTGTGACAGTGGAAGACACTCCCCTGGAAGAAGTGGACTCCTTTACCTACCTTGGAAGTGTCATCGATGATAAAGGTGGAACCGAGGCAGACGTTAAAGCAAGAACCGCCAAGGCAAGGTCAGCCTTCAAGCAATTATCAAAAGTCTGGAAAGCAAGCAACATCTCGCTACACACCAGGATTCGACTCTTTAACTCCAACGTCAAGTCTGTGCTTCTCTACGGCTGCATAACTTGGAAGATAACGAAAACAGTACTGAATAAAGTCCAGACTTTCATCAACAGATGTATGAGGAGTATTCTAAGAATTAAGTGGCAGGACAGAATAAGAAATGAAGAACTGTGGGAAAGGACAGGACAAAAGGATATAGAAGTAGAAATAGGACTAAGAAAGTGGCGATGGATGGGACACACCTTAAGAAAGCCCAGCAGAAACATCACAAGACAGTCACTGCAGTGGAACCCACAAGGAGCACGAGGCAGGGGTAGGCCACGGGAAACAAAAGGAGATGCGTGGAAAGGGACATGAGAGAAATGAAGCTCACTTGGAACGAGCTTGGAAGGATGGCTCAGGACAGAGATAAATGGAAGGAGCTTGTATGTGGCCTGTACCCTGCCAGGGGTGAAGGGCATTGATGATTGATGATAAGGCCATATGAGCACTCGGGACACATCAAACATTTTCAGTTGGGAGCAAATTTTGAATTTTGCTCGGGTGGTGGCAGAGGCCTACTCTTATCGATTTTGGACCACCAGATGATCTTTAATGTGCCCAACTCGCACACAGGACCTCCGAAATCTTTCGCCCTTGTTCGAGAAAGCTAGGTGTAGATCTTACCTACCATATATGTGTCACGACGTAGTGAAATCAGGCGGTTGTCAATTTTTGGGCTTCTGGAGTTATTGGTCTCATCTTAAAGCTTGTTTATTTGTCTATATTTTGATGAAAAAAACCCACCCATTTATCTTAAATAGTGAACAGGACTTAAGGTATTTGCGATTGAAGGAGATGGGGTCACTTGGTTTCAGAAGTAAAATTAGGGAGAAAATGACCGCCAAACTTTGGTGACTTTCAAAGCTTGAGAGTCATTTTAAACTGTAAATTTACATGTTTTGTGCCTTTAATCAACGATTTTCTGTAACTTCCAAACAGAAATGTGTTACTAAATGGATATAAAATGTGCTGAGCCAAAAAAAAAAATTCTTTAAAAATTGCCCAATGTCCAAAAATATGCTGGTTTCTTTGATTTCATTGTTTTGACGAACACCCGATTTCACCATGCTGTCTCACACATTATGATCAGGGGTGTGGCTGGAAGACAGCAGTAAGAAGGAGCCAAGGAGAAGCAGTAGAAAGGCTGCAGAAAGAGTCAGGAGTCCAGAGGAGTGGGCAAAGGTGGTGGGGTGGGGGCTGAAAGAAGAGACAAAAGTTGATGAAAGAACATTGATAGAGAGCAGGAAAGGATGTGAAAGGAGAACATAATTTTTAGAGAAGCAAATTTTCCGTCGCTACCCAGATTCGAACCTGAGAACTATTCAATGAGAGGTGAACACCTTAACCTCTAGGCCACAACAGCCCCTTTGTCATAATCTGATGCAATGAGTACAAAAGTAGAGCCAGAGAAGGAGACTGTTTCAGAGACGGATAGAAAAGGAATCAAATCTTTTGATTCATTTTCATGCTGCAAAAACCATCTCCTTTTGTTTGAATACCCGCACCTGTAATGCTGTCAACTTCAAAGACAAAATAAAAATCACTCATTTCACTGTGTGTGTGAAAATTCCTCTTTATTTTGTAAAATATTTGTAGAAAATATACCACCGAAAAAAAAAGCCTTGCAATCAGGAATTTTCATTATTCAACAAATATCACACGAATGTGTGCTGTGTTCAGTGTTTACCCCATATGTACAATATTATTCAAGTATTGCAGGTTTAGACCAACATGCTAACCACATCCCAAGTTCCACTAAAAGTAAGTGGGAAAAGAGGGGCCATCATTATCCATACAAAATGCCAATTCTCAATCAAACAAATTTCTGCAAACATCAGCTGACAGAAAGTTTGGACCACTGTGTAACATAAGTTTTTCTTGGAAAACTCAAGAAAAAGAAGTTGAGGAGACAAAGTCTGAAAATGTTTTATAGTCAGGACAAAAGAGGAACAATACCTTTTTGCATGAATTATATGATGTTTGAAACTGATGCAGAGTTACGGATTCCATGCTCAGCAGGCAAATTCCAGGTGCTTCCGGTCAGATCTTCAAATCACAAATTATCATCATACTAAATCCACAACAAGGAGAGAGTGAGGCAGGCATACAAAGTTGAGTTAAGAAAAGACAGTTTTTGTTTATTAAGTAAAGAGTATTACGGCACCTGCAACGTAATTATGTAATATACGCGCCGAAGATTAGAGGTGTTACAACCAACCACCCACAAAAGAGAGTTTGAAACAGCAGACAAACTTTGACGGGGAAGGAAGAGAAGAGAGCGAGACAGACACACATAATAAAAGAGTGAGGTAGGCACACAAAGCCAGACAGTGAAGAAAGAGACAGAGACAGGCATACAAAAGTGCCGAAGATTTGAGGGGTTAAAAAGGAGTAACAAACACAAAAAAGAAGGAGAAGAGAGAGATGCTTGATAGTAGGAAAGAAGGAATAAACCATACAAGAGCAGTTGCCAACCACCCACTGCGTAGAGAAAGATAGTTAAAGAACAAAGAAAGAGAGGGTTTCATGCATACAAAGTCAGACATTGAAGAAAGAAATTTGTGACAGGCTCACACAGTGAAGCAGTGGAGAAAAAGAGAGGAAGATGTGTATAAAAAGTCAGATGGCAAAGAAAGAGAAGCATACAAAGTCAGACTGGGCAGCGAGAGAGGCAAACAAAAAGACAAAGTGGTTGAGTCACTGGTGTTTGTGGAGTCATAAAATGACACAGGCATCATGAAAAAAAAGGCTACAAGAGAAGCTACACAAGAAAAACACTTAAAACTATATCGGAGCACCCATCAAGAGATAACATACAGGAAAACTAAAAACAGCAAACCAAGATTAGCATAAAACAATCTGGCACTTCATAGGAACAGAAAGATAAGTTGGAGACATAGTTTCATTTCTTGCACACAGGTGGACTCAAGCATTACATGATGCAGCATCAGCCAACACTTCTTGTATTTCAATGACTACACTCTGTGACTTCACTTCTTTCCCCCTTTCAGATTCATGTGTTGGATGAAAGACACGATCTGGTTGTGCTTCTCCAGCTCCTTCTCCAGTTCTTCAATCCTTGCTGTTTTTTGGAGCAATTTCTTTCCTTCCTCTTCGTTGACACCCTCCAACGTCTTCGTCTGGATACAAAGAAAAAGAAATCTCAGGTTACCGTCACAACAAATGAACAAGTGCAATCGCTTGTACAAACGACCCTCCCCCTCTCTCTCATGTTTTGTCTATGTTATAATAAAAACTGTCCAAGAGGACCACCTGTCTAAAACTTTTCTCCTCCACAATGGATGGTTGTCTTGGGCACATTTGACTGTTGGTCATATTACTATTCGTTGACACAGATGTGTCCATGTATTGTGGTCTGGACAAGACAAAAATGTAATCTATTTATGAAATGGACCTGTCTATATTTACCAAACCAAGATGATGTGACAGGCCCTGTATGGACCATAAACAGTTCTATAAACATAGCCCTTGCTGTATGATTTATTTTCACACATTCAAAGAAAAAAAATTTAACCCTTTTACCCTGAATCAGCATCACTGAAATTTCAGCCTACAGAATACTAACCCCATTGAGGAATCATACCCATATTTTTCTTTCTAAATCATTAAGAAAATCTATTTTGTTTCAAGTTAAAAAACAATCATGAATGGGAAAAAGATTCACTTTAGAATTATTTGCGGCCACATCTCGTCGCATGTTTTCTCGTTAGCGTGTAAGAACAAGAATAAAGAAACCTTTGACATTGTTCACATACCCTTTGCTGTAGCTGTCGGCATAAGTTTTCACTACTGCTGAGCTGCGTCCGTAGTTTGTCGATATACGTTTCCATATCCTCTTTCTCCTTCTCCAGTTCACTCCTCTCTTTCTCCGTGGTGCTGTAAGTCTCTTGCAAAGTCTGCAAGCTACTCTTCAGTTCTGTAAAAGATGTCAAAATACTTCTAATATTAACACTTTGCTTCTTGTTGACGGATTATGTCACTTAGCATGTAATACTACGAATCTAAAACAAACATTAAAGTGGTAAGAAAATGTGATATCATATAGTTTTGTACACCTTCTGATCAAACCTTTACCATATTAAAAAACACTGCATGGTCAGTTTGTTCCTTTCACTTTCAGTTTTTCATCTAAGTCCTGACGGACGTGCAGCATGAGAGTGTTAACTCACCACCGAAGACCAGCAGTTTTGTCTGAAGGAACCCCTGATGACCAGGCAATTGAAAGGTATTTTTTAGATTTACACTGGTAGATCCAGTCTTTTTCTCTCTCCTTCTTGAGTCAGTCTACCTAACTTGCTTTTTCTCAACACAGTATGACCAACATAATTTTTGTTTTTGTTTTTAATGTTTTAGAAAGAGCTTTACAGCATTTACAATACAATTAGGTCATACAAGTGATGAAGATTAGCGGTGTTACAAGAGAGTAACAAACATAAAAAAGGAGGAGAGATGAGGACGATAGATCTTTTATAGGAAAGAAGGAGCAAACCACACCAGAGAACCTGTCAACTTCCCACAGACCAACACCTTATATGGAAACCGATCAATATGACCAACATCTTACTGATGGGTTTCAATAGAACTGAGACATAAGAACACAATTTTCTTTTGTTCAAATCTGTGAAAAACCCTTCCCATAGTTTCTCCTCAAATATGTAGTATTCGGACATCACAACACACTTACTCTGTACAGCTGCATCCTTCTCTTTCAACTGTTTGCTAAGAGTCTTTCGTTCCTCTTCCAGCTGCTTGCTTTGGGTGCAGGACCTAAAAGAGACATCCAGGTTGAGGTCAAAAAGAGACACAAGACAAAACAAATTTTAGCAGTATTCATGTCAGCTCAATATAATAACAGTCAAACCAGCTTTAACGGCCACCTGTCCAAGAAAACGGCCCATACGAACAACCACCTCCCACTTCTCCCCTTGTGTATTTTCCATATAAAGACATTGTCCAATAGGTCCACCTGTCTAAGACAACCACTTTTGACCTGGACATTGGGTGGCCATCTTGGTCAATTTCAACGATATGTCACATGAAACTGAAACATGTAGCCTACTTGAGGGACAAGAACAATTAAATTGCAAAAACCACAGGCTTGACAATTGGCTGTTGTTTTGGTATTGATCCAGATTAACCATTGGCAGAAAGGTCACATTTAGCTCCTTAAATATTTTGCAAGAACTAATTACTCACAAAGGATTCATTCCCAGAAATTCAGGTTTTTGCACTCCTTTGAAGCATTCATATTTTCTACCAAATGTTTCGTATCAATTGTAAATTCATAGTGAACCACCACGGTAAAAGGTACTGTCTTCTCTTTGACACACTTCTCCAATGTGAACACAACTGTAAAACCAACAAACACAACAATAACACAGAGTTTAGAAGAATCTGAGATCTGTTTTCATTTTACAATGAAATGAAAGACCAAATGGATCAGAAAGCCCTAAGATAGCATAATTCATCAAAAGTCCTTGTTGCAATTAGTTAGGGCAAAAAACAATTACTCACTTGTCATACTGCTCTTTCAAGACCTCATGAGCTCTCTGCAAGTCTTCCTTCATGTTAGATAGCGTTTTCTTTTCTTGCACACAAGCAGCCAGCTTCTCCTCAACTTCAGCACACCTAGAGAGAAAGCCAAAACAATACAGTCGTTCACCTTCTATTGCATTTATTTTATAACACCAAATAAAAATACTCTAAAGGGGCACAGTCTTATCTGAAGAGGTGATTCACAAGATGGTTAAGTACATCCATCACAGAAAATTTAGCCATTCTAGACCAGGAAATTATTACTTGAGGAGCAGTATTAATTAAACCGTACATATATAACAATGACACCAAGTTACGTGAACAGGATGATCTTAGAGCCATGTCAGTCAGGCTAGGTCTGCATTTTTCAAAACTGTTAAGTAAAAAATACGGAACATAACTCCACATATCACACGAAGGTGTAGTCTAACTGTAGAAACAGACGAAATATACTGTTAAAAAAAACCCTGAAATTCCTTCAAATAAAATGAGTCAAGAGACATGCAGACAAGTTTTTCTGTTGTGCTGAAAACTATGCCTGTCCTGAGTTAGCCATGTCACAACCAACACCACTGACACAGTGCTACCATACTGAGGAGGGCAACAAAACCTTCAGGTGAGGCAAATTGAAATTTATTGATCTGCGTATGGACCCTGCAGAGGAGGGGAGAGGAGTCTCTGAAGACTCCAGTACTGGACTCAAGTAATTTTTAAAAATGTTTTTTTTAAGTATTGTTCTATGCAACTCACATGCTGTGGCACCCTAAGATTTAGAAAAAGTTACAAAAACTAATCAAATCAAATCTTCAGGAATCTCAGCAGATAGAATGTAAGAGCTCTTTTGTTATTTCAGTATCTAATTCTTCTAATGTGACAATCATTTCAACTGAATTATCGGACCGTGAAACTTTTCATGTTTCATTTTCTAAATGGCAGCATGTACTCCTTCTTTCCGAATGGGCAGGTCTATTTTCCATTTATGTAGTTCTTTATTACAGATTTCTCTCCTCTGTTACCTTTAACCCTGCAGGCGTCGCTAACAAAGTGCTTGTGGCATCAAGAGAAGTTATATGATTTCACCGTATTATGTTGGAAAATGCTTTAGACCAGCAAACCAAACAAGCAAAGGTCATAAACCTATGCATTTTCAGAAAGTAAAATGTACATAGAAAGTATAGCTTATCGTTAATTCATGTTTCTTTTGCTTTATTATACTTTTTTCTTTAGTTCCTCTTTTAAAACGTTGTCATCATCATCATTGCCTTTCTCACCCTGCATCAAGGAATAGGCCACGGACAAACACTTTCCACCTTTCCCTATCCTGGGCTAGATTCTTGATATAATTCCACGTCTTCCCACTTTTCTGAACATCATTCTAGGTGACTGTTCTACAAGTTCCATGTGGCCTTCCTCTTGTTCTCTTACCCTGTGGATTCCAATCCAACACTCTCTTTGTTATGTAGCAGCCTGGTTTCCTGAGAGTACGTCCAATCCATTGCACCACCTTTTTCCCACTTAATTTCCTACTGGACTCTCTTTTGTTCTTCTTAACACTACCTAACCGATGACCTGATCTGTCCATCTGATATTGAGTAACTTTCCCAAACACTTAAATGTTGCACTTATCTACATTTGATTTTTAGACTTCTTTTTTTATTGTTCTAAATTGTTATCATTCATCCATTTTCTATTCACTTTCTAATATTTCAGGGAGATAGCTTCTACCATAGCTCAATTTATGCAATCAAAAATCTTTTCCCATAACTCTTCAGATTTAATCCTGTTTCCTAGAGCTTAAAATATATTGCTTCCATCAATATAGAAACATTCTTTCAGTCCTTCATTTGTCTTTTAAATATCTTTTAAAGTTTGGGTTGGTGCTGTGACTTTTTTTTTTTAGCTTTTCAATTTTATCTTCATTCTGATACATAAACGAAGGAACTACATGCATTTCATGTCAAACTTACTTGTCGGAGATCTCATTGATTTCCTTGGCAAACTTCTCCTCTTGTGCTATCTTTACATCTAACCTAAATAAACAGAAAAGATCAAAGTCCAGTCAGAAATGATCATGAAGAGACAAAGCATCAATGTGAGTTCAAAAGCAATCTGAGCATAAAATAGTGTACAGGGTTTCTATTATATTTATGACAATCAAATTATAAAGTGTTACAACATTTTCAAAACAAGTGTAGGTTATCAAAATATGCTGGATCTCAGAATTCGTTTTTATTTCCGATGAAAGACAAGACAAAGCTATTCTCAACACAGTCTAAGGTTACAACTGATTTGACCTCAGTTTACAAACAACACTGTCCAGTGAATTACCAACTAAACAAGCAGCATAGCCTTATCAACCTCAAACCACCTGCGGTAGTGGTTTTCCTATCAAACATCTACCATCCTTATCTCTCCTCCTTCATTTTTTTGTTTTTGTTACTCTTTTGTAATACCTGTAATCTTCGGCACTTATATGACCTATTGGTGTTGCAAGTGCTTTGGAACTCTTACTAAAAAAAATAAAACGGGAGCCACCTGCACAGTGGAACTCAGTTCTAACAACAAGTCTAATACAATACGGCATTGATTCCACACTGAGCCCAGTGTTTCTCCATTCCAGTTGGAGGGAAAAAAATATTGGCATGAGTGTGTTTGTGACACATGTTCTTTATCCCACAACTGGTCAATAACTGTCTCCCCTATAAATAATAAATGACCCGGTGAGTGATAAAAAACATTGGTCACAACCACACTTGTGGTCAGAAAGGAGAATCTTAATCTTATGTATATAAGATGTGTCTGCAAAATGCACAAAATATAGACAGACAAAGTGCAACCAATATTGGTTGTGACAATTTTTTTAAACTTGTAGAGCTTGCCAAAAAAAAGCAAGGACAGCTGCACACTTTTTCTCCATTTTGCCTGCTACACATGGCTCATACTGCCAGTTACAGAGCAGTGCCCATTATAGAGCACTTCGTAAATAAATGCACTTGATGGTCGAGAAACAGCTTTGCCCTTATCCCTTTGATCCCTGAGCTCCTGATCCTAATTCTATCGAAATCCTGGCCTGCTGAGTTTTCGGGTTCAAGGAAAGTGCACTTCATCGTGAAAAATCGCAGAAAATAAGCACAGAATGTGACCAAAACATGTGTGAAAGAATGAATACCTGCTTGTATCCTATAATAGCATATTGACAGAAATTAGCATTCTCATTGATAGAAAATTACTGCCTTTTTCAGCCTGACAATCCAGTACTCTTCCTCATTCCTGTGAACTGGCGCTATATATAATTGTTGCCAAAGTGTGCCACTGATGCATCCGTGGTACAGACTCAAAAAGTTCACCAAAAAAAAAAACCCAGAAAAAAAAGGTTTACTAGTTACAAAAAAGAATACTGTTACTCACTCTTTATCAAACTGTGTCTGTTGTTTCTCTGCCTCCAATCTCATTTCATTCATCTGAGCTATCATAAGTTCCACTTTTCGTTCAGACTCTTTCAAGATGCCCTGGAGTTTGTTCATCTGAAATATAAAGTAGAGGGTTTTCATTTTTTATTAAGCAAACTTAAAAGACAATGTGCTTCCTTCATACTTCACTTAAGGTTTGAGTGTTAGTGAAGAGTCAAAGTCTCAAAACCCACACTCCCTATCCTTCTCTCATTGAGCTATTAATATTGCTAATAAGTGTGCTCAGTCCCAAGAATAATCTAGGTCAATTTCATCTGAACAGAGGTTCAGTTTTAGTCTAAGCGAAGAAAAGGACATCAACAAAATAGCAGCCATTTAGTCCCAGGAAAAGGCCAGACAGACTGACAGAAACAACTGAGAGAAAGATAAGAAGTACAAAATACCACTGGTACCCTCCGACCCTCCATTAATTAATTGAACCCTGTTATTCCTGTCACATGTCATCCTGACAATGTTTGTCCGTTGAGGCCCCCTCTCCTTCCCACAACGTGACTCCATCTTCTCCAGTCTTTCACGCATTACTTCATGAAGTTGTAGACCACAGTTAGATTTTGCATTTTCAATGTATGATGTTGGAGGTCTACCCTTACATTTCTTTGCTTCCATTTAACCCAGTAGCACAGTTGTCATCAGGTCCATTTTTATGTTTCTATTTTGAGACTAAGGTAATTGGGTCTCCTTTGGCTGATCTTAGAAAGCATTCTTTGCAGTGTATCAAGTTCTTTCAGAACACTTTCCCTTGTTCTTTTTTATCTCTCCATTTGACCTGAAGTAGTCTCCTACAAAACCACATAAGAATGAAACAAAAACAAATAAAATTGAAGACATGTCAGCAAATCCAGCAAAGACAAGTGACCAATCAGTCACCACCACAAAGAAAGTACTGAGACAGTAATGAGCAATGTTTTTGAGAAGTTGATTACTGGAGCAAGCACACCACTGATATAATTCACTCTGAACAGATAAGAAAACATAGCAATACTGAAAGAAAAAAAAAAGCATTTAAGAATATAAATGATATATAAAACCAGAGAGGGACCCAGATTGAATCCCAAGGTCCAGGGTCAGAGGCACAGAGGAAGGCAAAATCAACATAGCAGAGAAAAGAGGAGACAGATACCAAGAAACTCTGAAAAAGTTGGCCATAACCTGAGAAGAATACTCGGGACAGACATCTTTGGAGAGAAATTATCGAACCACCTTAACAAACAACCACTACCTACTTTCTCCCCCTTTCAAGTTTTCTACATTACAATGACACTGTCTAAGAGGACCACTTGTTTACGAAGCCCGCTTTTCTCCTCGACAATGAGTGGTCGTCTACGACAAGTTTAACTGTATTTACATCAAACCCAGAATGAGCAACGAACCTCAGCAAAGTGAGCAGCTTCCATGCTTCGTAAACGAACAATGACTCGATCTGCCTGCGTCAGAGCCATGGTCTTTGCTTCCAGCAGGTTGTTCAGATGTTCTTCCTTCACCTTGCATAAAAAAACAAAACAAAAGCCTAGACATTGTGGTGATTAAACGCAGTACCGATAACAACTACAATAAAACCCTGATAACACGAACTTCACAGGACCAGAGTATTTCTTTGTGTTAAGCAGATTTCGTGATTAAGGAAGTTGCAACGCATACAACAAAGAGGGAAGTAAAAAAATCAGGGATTTGAAATCCTTTTGTGGCAACAGAAATTTTGGGTTAACCTGCACTGTGTTAAACAAAGTCTACTGTACATGTTTTGCTTGAAGTCGTGAGAAACAAAGTATGAACATGCCAAAATAATAATTCAAGCGGTCTTCATAACAAAAAAAACTAGTTTACCTGCTGACATCAATAATTAAAGTGACATAAATGAATACTCTTAAAAATGATGAATTTACAACACAAAAGAATATATTTCTCAAACTTTTAATTCGAAAATGGAGTGAGGGTGATTTAGCTGCACGACAGACGCTATATTGTTAGCAACTTGTTTTTACATCTTATCCGCTTGACAGGAAAAAAAAAAGAAAACAAACATAAGAACAAATCAAGCAAAACAAAGCAGCAAACACCCCACCCTCAAACCTGCTACAGAATACACTTGGACTTGTACCGACATAATTCTTTACAAGGACATTTGCTTTACACATAAAATATAACCCATATAAATTGTTCTTCTTTAATTACGTAAAATGGACATCAGTGATCATGGTTGCCATGTATTTTTCTGCGCAGATGCTCTAAAAAAAAAGCTATAATATTATCCTACTCTTTTCCTGTAACCAATCTATTCAAGTTCTATGAGTAAGTTCTTCTTGTCTCTGCCTCTATTCCTTTCAATTTTTTCAGAGACAGCAAGATGCTTAAGGCCCTTAAGTAAATTCAAGTTTCCAAAGAACTTCAATTTGTCTCTCAGTGACTGTCCCACACTGGTTTCTTCCAACACTACATCATTTGATTTCTCTTCCTTCCATGAAATTCTCTCTCAACAGCACCCTATGATAACACATTTTCTCTTACAATCAGTTAATATCCAATATCTTTACTTATGTTTAGCATTCCCAATCATATAGCACAGTAGGCTTGTATAAATAGTAATCGGGAAAATATAAACTACATTCACTTCCCTACAGCTGTAGAGCACTAACACACATTCAACAGTAACAGGAACAAGAGTACACAAAACATTCAGAAACTAAAGGAAGCATCAGAACTGTTATCTATACCTGCTGAGATTTGATGTGGTGCTCAAAGACTTCAATCAGCTGAGCAGTCTTTGTATCTTTAGGCTGTTGTGAAAGAAATAACAAAGTTACAAATTTATTTTTTAAATGCAACATGGAACAAAGGACACTAGCAGTAAAACATACATCAAAATTTTACACTTTGTCAGACATTTTGTTTTAAACTTGATTGATACAGCGTTGAAGACAAGGAAATATTGAAAATCATGCAATGAATAATCATTGGTCACTGTATATGTTTCACACCTCTTTCAACACTGAAAGTTTATTCTAAGATGTGGGAACCTCCAATTTAATGTACATCTCAGATACCACCAAGCCAAATGGGTGGAGGGCTTTAAAACCACCACAAAGCAACCCAAGTTCAAAATGACTGTTGGAGATTCAAACCAGGGCCACATTCCCAGAAGTCCAGCAGGATACCAACTGATCAAACGGTGCACCACTGAATAGAAAAAAAAGGACTGACAACATGGATGAATAATTCAATATCAACGCTATCAATGTACAGAGAGAAGATGATGACATGACTCGCCTCAATCAACACCTACCTCAAGCACAGTCTGCATTCTTTCTATCAAAATCTCCACAGAAGAGTCGCCAGATTTGTCCCCCATACCCCCGAGCCCCGTCCGGTCTGATCGAGGTACAGGCGTACTGGACAGCAAAGGGCCAGGCCTGTTTTCTTTGCTCTGAAGCACGGTATCTCTCCGGCACTGCACTTTGCTCGAGGGTTCCGTCTTAGCTTCTTCAACCTTTCTCTGCTCCCTCTTCTGACGGTTCAGACTGGCTATAAAGCCACACAAGCTGTCATAGGATAAAACATAAAGTTACATAACTATCCTTTCTGAACAATAATTGATCAAACTCATCCATGAATTCTGAATTTTAAAATTCAATCAAATTTAACAGTTTCATAGGTGGCTGGCGGGTGCACTGGTGTGGTTTGCTCCTTCTTTCTTATCAAACATCTTTCTTTCTCATCTCTCCTTTTTTGTGTTAGTTACTCTGCTGTAACATCTCTAATATTCGGCACATGTATGACCTTATTGTGCCGCAAGTGCCATAAAACACTTACTAAAAAAAAACTTTCTCAAAATGTGCAAACAATTGGCTCTCTTACTAAACAGTAAATGCTGAAGATATAGACTATACAAATTACTAACTAATAAATGTTGAAGCTATAGAATATTCAATATTAGAAAACTACTCACGCAACCTCCGGCCGAGCCTCCTCTGCTCCCAGAGACATCGCCAGCAGCTGAAGAGACACCTCAACCTGTTCCTGACTCCCCGAAGTCAAACCCAGGGCAAGGAAATCTTGCACACGTGGTTCCTACAAGACAGAACACTGAGGTGTCAAAGTTCACCAAATACTTTGGACTTTGTTTTGTTTCTACTGTGCATTTCTTCTTTGATAGAGATACAACCATTTATGTTTTTCTCAGGAAAAAGCTTTGAAAAGAGAAATGCTACAGGAACAACAAAGCTGTAATGAAAAGCTTTCCAATTCTGTATTTTCTATATATTCAAACATTTATCTCTATAAATAAAGTTTTAGCAAGTCTACAGCAGTGACCTGCATGGGAAAAGCACAAGCTGCTTTCATATCTTTAAATAGGATTTAGAAGACCAGGGATATCTCACTTCGAACAAAGGTGAGGATTTTCAATTCAAATGTGAAGTGAGTCCTGTTGTATGGATGTCAGACATGGAACGCATCTCAGGCTTGCATTAAGAAGATCCAGGTTTTCTTGAACAAGTGTCTAAGAAATTTAAAGAGAATCAGATGGACAGACAGAGTCACCAATGAGGAAGTGTTAAGGAATACAAGACAGATCCCAGTCAGAGACGAGGTAGCAAGAAGGCGGTGGCCATGGATTGGACATACTCTCAGGAAGTCAGGCAGCTGCCTAACAAAGAAAGTTTTGGATTGGAATCCACAGGGTAAAAGATTAAGGGGAAGAGCGTGTGGAACCTGGAGAAGAATCACAGAAATTGATGTACAGAAAAGTAGGAAGACATGGAATAACATCAAGAGGCTAGCCCAGGATAGAGAAAGGTGGAAAGTGTTCGTGGCCTATACCTTGGTGCAGGATGAAAAAAGCAATGATGATGATGATGATGAAGTCTACATCAAAACAAACAAAAAGCAGAAAGAAAAAAGAAGATTCTCAGCTGAAAGGCATATGTGTTCAGGGGAGACTGTAAACCAAATTTACTCCTGATAGAAAAGATTTCTAGTTAAAGATACTCTAAAAAGTCAAGTTCAGAAGAACATCAAAATATGCTACTATGACTTATGTTCAAACAGATATGAAAAAATAAAGAAGTTAAAACCAAATAATAACTGCTAAATCATGCAAACACTGGAGTTAATGTTCATGAGCTGTAGTTTATGGAAGTCAACACAGAAAAAGCAACCAAACAGCAATAATAAAACAACAAAGAACAAAAGATATAAATACATTGACCAATCACTGATATAATGCTTCAGACACTTGCAGTTACTGTGTGGAAAGACAGAGAACAAAATAAAAGTACTCAAGTTTATCTGATTCTATTTTGTAATATATCCCAACCTTGAGAACCTTGGTCAAATACTGTGGAACACCAGGGATCAGCTTCTGCAACTTTGATGCTAGGTTCAAGGTCAGCAGGATGCCAAGGGTGCCCTCATCTCTTGAAAAATAGAGAAATAAAAGACCTGCTTACAAATCCTTTAACTCTTTTTATCCTAGCCGTACCCCCACGGACTCTGTACCAGTCCTGGGGCCGCCGCGCCGAATGAGTCGGAAGTCAGAAGTCAGTGCGTATAGTTCAAAGTGCTATAATTCTTACATTTACTCGAAGGTTTTAAGGAAATTTGACAGTTATATTAAAAATTGAATGTATTTTTTTTTTTAATGTATGTGGTTAGGAAATACACCAATAGCACAATGTAGATTTTGAGGTGTATTCCACCCTCGAACTTGACCCTGATTGCCGCTCCCACGACGTCCCATTGGATTTTATAGCTAGATCTAGCCCTACCCATCGAGCACAAATTCCAGTACTGACCACTTCACCATGATCTGAATCGCTATTAGATGAGTCTAAGTCCTGTTTCTTATCATCCACAACGGAATTTACGGCACTTATTTCAGAGTCACTTTCATCAAATTAGTATCATTCCCCATCACAACCCAGCACCACTTCAAAAAGTACTTCGTCGGTCGTGAATGTGCGTTTTCGAGACATCTTTCAAGCTTCTACACCCATCAAAAACAAAGAAACCACTGTTCATTGGAAAATTAAAATATTCAGACAGAGCTAGCATCGCCATATTTGCATCATTGTATTTTGGTAATTACAAGCAGAACTAGCTTCTTTGACGTGACCGTATCGCTGTTCCGAGAATACTCATAGCCCGGACTGGTCCTCGTTACGAGTATACTCGTAGCCTAGATAAAAAGAGTTAAAATGTTGCCACAGACAACTACAGCAGGACATCAGATGGGTCTTGATGTAGTGTAAAAAAAAATCTTTAAAAAAAAAAAAGAGCATTGCACATGAATACAAATCTGCTGCATTTCAGAAGTTGAATATATTGTTATTGCAATTTTTTTTCCTAATTGCTCCTTGCTTAATAAATTTTCTGCTTCCCTCAAAATTCAGCTTCCTACCTTTAGTAAGTCATCTGGAGACTACCACATCGATTACTTTTAAGCTTGATGCCAAAAACAAAACAAAACACACAACAAAGCAACTACAGGATGTAGGACCACAGTCTAGACAAACGTCTATAAAGTAAACACTATTTTCAAACTTAAGTCGTTTTTAGTTTTAGTAAGAGTTTTACGACACTTGCAACACAATAAGGTCATATAAGTAACAAAGATTAGAGGTGCTACAAGAGAGTAACAAACACAAAAAAGAAGGAAGAGAGATAAGGACGACAGATGTTCGATAAGACAAAAGGAGCAAACCACACCAGAGCATTTGCCAACCACCTACAAACTATAATTCGAGCATAAGTAAACCCTGACCAAGGCTTATTTCTAAAAGTAAAAGCACAAGAAACATATGTGAGGCATCGTGGTGAAATCTGGCGCTCGTCAAGATAATGAAACGGAAGAAAAAGGCACTTTTCCTCCAGTTTGACCAATTTTATTGAATTCTTGCTTTTTGGCTCAACACCTTTTTATGTCCATATAACTACACATCCTCATGTGAATTTTACCAAACAACAATGATTAATGGCACAAAATAGGTAAATTTTAAGTTTTAAAGGACTCTAAAGATATTGAAGTTACCAAACTTTGGAGGTCAATTTCTCGCTAATTTTACCTCTGAAACCAGGCGACCCTTACCTCTTTCAATTGCAAATATCTCCACTTCTATTCAACATAGATTGATACTTTTTCACCGAAAGGAAGGCAAATGAAGAGGCTTTAAGATGATATTAATAATCCCATATGCCCAAACATTGACGAGCACCTAGTTCCACCACGTCGTGCCACGTATGAACAACAAAAACAAGTGGGACAGTTTGAACGTTTAAAAAAACATTTCTGAAAAGGTTTAGCCACCAGCTCCAAATTGATTTTCAAACTTGCAAAAAAAAAGTTGACTTATAAACATGGAAATAGTCTATTTATATTCGAATTTGGGATGAAATCCTACGACAGTTTTTATGATGAAAAGAGAATTCATACATTAATAATACATGGAAAAACCACTTTGTAATAAAGAGGGAACTGCCCATGCCCAGACGCAACATTCAACCACAGGAAAGGAAAACCAGGACTAAAGAACTTGCTCACTTTTTCTCCTTGTCTGACCCGGAGAACGGCGATGTAGCCGCAGCGTAGGAGACATATCCCTGAGACAACAGGGAGTCCATCAACTTGTTGAACATCTCACAGGTAACAGCACGACCTAGAGACTCTCGGCTTCCTTTATCTGAACACAGCACTGGTAGAAATGGGGAGGATAAAAGCAAAAGTTGAACAATTTCATAGACATTGGATAGACCAAACAAAATTAAACGAGCTATTCTAATCATAGGCAAGCCTACAATCTTTGTCACATTTATACATTAGGGCATGTTTACAGTTTTCATTCATTCGATCCCAAATGATGTTCAAGGCCCCCTAATTATGTGCTTTCGGTCGTTATGCCATATTGAAAATGCTTCCAGTGTATCAGGCATTGTCTTTTCTCTAAGTCTTGAATAAGGTCCTGCTAGGATACGGTCACAGACCACACTACAGGCAAATGTAATTCTTAAACAATATACAGTAAGGATAATAAGTTCTGTGTAACCCTGAGAAACAATTATTGTCCTTTCATCAGATGACTAACTTTACTGGGAAGTTTAATTCCCCCCCCCCCCCCCCCCCCCCCACCCCTCCTCCACCAACACATGCACTCAGTTGCTCTCAATCTCAGACATTTACCTGTCAAAAGTTTCACCACTCTTACTGTCTTGGCTGAAGAGTCTGCCAGCTGTGCTTTTAAGAGGAAATTGGCAAACACGGGTGCAAGTAGATGAATGGGATAGGAAGCATCAGAGGAGCAAGTGCATTCCTGTCAGGAAAAAACCCAAAGAAAATCAATAAAATATGAAGACTATAACCACAAACTAAAATGCCCTATTATTATATGCATAGAAGAAATGTTATTCAAGTGGTATAAAAGTAGACCGGCAAATGTTGTGTTATTCTTTCTTCATTTTAAAAAACCAAAACAACACCCACCTGCAACGATTCAGACAGAAATTCCAAGGCAAGGAGAGCCACACTGCTGTTGGTGTTCCCTGTGTGAGCCGACCAGTGAACACAGCTCAACAACGGCTCAGTGCCCGGCATCAGAGCTTGGCCTGCAGCCTCTGACAGTCTTTTTGAATCCATCTGACCTTCAGTCAGCGCAGAGAACAGTCGCGAGTTTACCGACTGTCTGATGGAAGGCACAGCACACAAATGAAGCAAGAGTTCAAACACCTGTGAAAATAAAAAAGCAGGTTAATATTTATTCATCAGACTGGTAAATATGACAGTGGTCAAAATAAAAGGCAGCTCAAGTATTTGTTTATAAATAAGAACAGAAAATAAGAAGAGCACAACAGAGTACTATACCTATATCAGACCAGTGGGGGGAAAAAAACAGAAAACTCTCATATACCACTTCAAGGCACAGGACATTACACTGCTGCATTAATAACATTATAACTTCAACAACAATACCAACAACATACCTCTGACACAGAATCCTCAGAACCCAGAGCAAGAAGGGAAAGTACATCATTCATACATTTTGGCAAGTGACGATATCTGAAACATCATAAAGCAAACTTGTCAAATTCAAAACAATTTTCTAGATCCAGATTCATTTTCAAGCTATGTTTGAGCTAAATTTGCAACATTAATTTCTTTACTATTGTATAATTAGTCCTGATTTACCTCCAGGATGTTATGCAACCCAATTACAAGTATCCACTCCACAGTACCACTCCAGAATCAGGTTAAATTTTGTCAAAGCTTTTCATTATTTCAATACACATTGTAAGTAAAATGTAAGATTGTTCATTTGGTTTTTAAGACCCAAAGCTCTCTTCAGAGTTTATAAATGATACAAGCTGATACAAGCTGTTACACTCAATTGAGAAAATGAGATAGTTCCCCTTCTTCACAATGGTCCATTCCAAGACAAAGAGACAGCAAAAGCTTAACAAATGTGAGCAACCGTATCCAGAAACAGTGAAACAGTGGTAATCCAAATCATTCTCTACATAATTTTCTATCCTCCTGGATGTAATTTCCCCCTCAGGAAGGCACTAGTTTACTACATACATTTTGTTTTGTCCTGTAATGTATTTATTTGTTTCACTTAAAGATACATATCATTCATCAAATGAAAGGAAATGGGAGGGGAATTTGAAAAAAATTAATATTTTACATACCAAAACATGCATTATATTATTTTGGTATACATGGACAAGAGGAAAATTTTGAGTACCTATAGAGGCATATAGTCTAACCAGTGGTACTGCTCAATTATGTGACAAGAAAAATGCTAAGCCAATCAGTCGGATCTTCATAGTGAATGAGTTATAAAAACTACTCACCTTTTTATACAAATTTGCATTTGTGGCTGGCGCATCAAATCTGCGAGGAGATCTGCAGCGTATTTCCATGTGACTGTTTTAAATTTGTTAACAATTATGTTGAAAACAGTCTGAAGAGTTTGTTCCACATTGCTGCTCTCAAAAAACACCTGGAGAAAAAAAAGGTATTAGAAAATAAAGACATCAATCTGGATTTTTAAAGGAAAATTCAAATGTTTCTATTGATGAATTCCTGCGGTCTGACCATGTTGGCTATAAATAAACCGGTGACATAAAGTAAAACAACAAGTAAGTCACCTTAGAAAAAAGACTTTATTCTACTCATCAACAACCAGCCATTATTTCTACATCAACATTGAAAATGAAACAGCTACCACTGGAAGAGAAAGGCAAAAGATTTGACCCTGATTATTGTACATAGTTTTGTTTTGAAAGGTGATCCAAAAATCTCTGAAATTGTCTTTACTTGTGTGGATATTATCTAAGAAAACTAAAAAGTAATCAGACTGTGAGAGCATCCTCAGACCACAAGAGAGACACATTGATATACCATTACACTCAGGTGAAATATCAGGTGGAGAAAATATTTCAAAACTCAACGAAACCCACTCCCAAGCCAGCGCAGCCCCCTTCCCTTTCCTCAGTGATCAAAGACACCCAGTATCTTGTGTTCCATTACCTTGCTCCACATACTGGAGAGAGAGAGAGAGAGAGAGAGAGAGAGAGAGAGAGAGAGAGAGAGGGAGAGGGAGAGGGAGAGGGAGAGGGAGGGAGGAAGGGAGGGAAGGAGGGAGGGAGGGAGGGGGAGAAAGAGAGAGAGAGAGAGAGAGAGAGACAGACAGACAGACAGACAGACAGACAGACAGACAGACAGACAGACAGACAGACAGACAGACAGACAGACAGACAGAGACAGACCGACAGACCGACAGACCGACAGACCGACAGACCGACAGACAGACAGACAGACAGACAGACAGACAGACAGACAGACAGACAGACAGACAGACAGACAGACAGAGAGGGAGAGAAAGAGAAAGAGAAAGAGAGAGATAAAAAAGAGAGAGGGGGGGAGGGAGGAAGGGAGGGAGGGGAGAGAGGGAAAGAAAAAGAGGGAAAGAGAGAGAAAGAGAGAAAGAGAGAAAGAGAGAAAGAGAGAGAGAGAGAGAGAGAGAGAGAGAGAGAGAGAGAGAGAGAGAGGGAGGGAGAGAGAGATATGGAGAGAAAGGACCACTACTGGAACTGTACTGTGCATAATGTTCATACCATTGTAAAGCATATTGAGCATTTTGTTAGAGGAAACGCACTTAGGGAGTGAAATGTATTTTCATCATTATTATAACTATTACTATTATCATCATTATTATTATTATTATTATTGTTATTATTATTATCATTATTGTTACTATTATTAGTAGTAGTAGTAGTAGTAGTATTATCATCATTATTATCTTGCACACAAAATAATTAACAACATACCTTCTGTCCCTCAGGCTCATTAAGACTAATGCTGGTGAAGATCCTGAGGGCAGAAATAACCACTGTCTGGTTGTCATCACTGAAGTAACCACAAAGGATCTTCAAGAGCTTTCGTAAATCTGAAGAAAACTAAACAAAGCAAACAAACATGAACTTCAGATAAGAAAGTCTATCACATGTCATAAAAAAATAGAAAATGCAAATGAGAATTTTAAAAACCACAAACAAATTTTAAAACTTTTAGTTCTCCCATTAAGGAAATATTACTTCATTTTCCTCGCAACTAAAAACTGGAGAAAAAAAAAAAGAGGGATAGGATCTATTCTAGCACAGAAAATGTAACAAACTTTTACAATGAACTTTCTCTGGAGCGATGCCTACAAATTACCGCTTTTGTTATCAATCTATTACTATTAAAATCAGAGAAACTTATATAAAAATGACAATGGTCTACCCACACCATTTGCTAAATTTCCTATACTACCATTGCAGCCAAAAGTTTAACTTTTCATTTTGATTAAACACTACTACCCAAAAGAGAAACATTGAGATGACAGTTTTATACAGACTTCAACATAAGTAAAGAACCACTTGCAAATTTGGCTAAAATTCCCTGAGGATTTCCGTGCTGCACCTTGTGGTATTGCCCCTTTAGGAAGCTTTGCAGTACATATTGGTAACCCATTAACACTTTCAGAGCAAAATAATTTGAAACATTCCTTGTCTTTTTTCGGATTTTAAAAAATCAGGGCTGTGTGTCAAGGTGGTCCTTAACTTATGTTGAATTCTGTACAATAATTTTCAAAAGAAAAGTCTGTCTGACAAAGTACCCTAAATAGAAAGAGCCCTAATATCAAATGTGTAAGTGTGAACCACTTTATACACAACAATGGTAAAAAGAATCCTTATGTGTGAAACAATTTCAAAACATAAAAATGACTTACTGTGTCTTTAATGGCAGAATGGACCAGGACATTGTTTCGACAAAGGTTGGCCAATGTTCCCAAGACAGGAGGCACCAGACTGTCTAAATCTGGAGATAACCTGAAAAGAATATGAGCAAATTATTAATTGAACTGATATACATTTATAACGCTTGCTCAGAGTATAACAATGAAAATTTATTCACATTTTCACAAACTTTTTAAAGCCTCTTTTTCTCCTTGTTCAATAATCTTCATTCCGTATTCTGTAGCTCTGAATTTCTCTGACAGCAACTGCATGTTCACATATACAAAATTGAATTATGATAATAATCTATGATCTAGCATCCCTTGACTAGTATTTTTTTAGGACAGTAAAGGACTTTGATGTTTACTGCAGGAGGAGAATTCAAGACAAAGTTCAAGACATAAAGCACTCATTAGCCCTCTCAGGGCGTAGCAGACACACATATGTCCGACCAGCAGCAGACCAAAGACAATGTTGCCGCTCATTTTGAACGCACCTACACACACCCCAAAACACAAATTTGAACATTTCATATTAATAATGATATTGTTGTCTGTCTGGTTTTTTGTTTTTTGTTTTTTTGGTACGTGTTTCACAGTGCTCGCAACTGCATACTGTCATACGAGGGACATATTAAACATTTTCAGTTGGTAGGAAATTTTGAATTTTGCCCGGGTGGCGGCTGAAGCCTACTCTAATCGATTTTAGACCACTAAGGGATCTTTAACATGGCCTGTCTGTTTCAGATAAATAAAACAGAATTAAAGAACACGAACAACAGTGTTATAAATGTCTTTTAGCACTCAAAAAGGGCACATCTTTAAGTGTTCTAATTACCAGAATGGGCGTTCTCAATGAGATATGGAAAGGCTTCTTTGGTAAACGTGCATCGTTGCAACCACTGTCTAAACAATAGACATTAGATCAAAATTCTATGAATGCAACTGAGTGATGGGAAATGGCAAACAGAGAAACAGTCTGACTCCATCAATAAATGGACTGCTTCATAAAAGAAAATGGCTCTAGTGCTCTTACACATTAAGGACCAAGAATCGCAGGAGCTCATCCATATGGGGTTGGTGGTAATCAATACGATGGCCATAAGTGATACGCTGCAAGAGCTGCAGGGCCTGGGGAGAAAAAAAAATTACTCATAAATGCACGACAAAAGACTAGTATTCCTATCATTGTCACTACCATAACTACCAAAATGTTGTCACTGTTGTTATTATCGGTATCATGATAATTCCTGTTATAGATATTTATATTCATCATCCTTATTACTAGCATTATCATTACCAGTATCATTAACCCAAGTTTCAGTATTGTCAAATATTAGCAGACGTGTAAACTCAAAGGTTTTTAATGATACCGAAGTAAGAAATTTCTCTGAACATTACAAATTTGACATTTAAATTCTGAAACGTGCGTATCCAGAAAGCTGAGAACATGGTAAATGGGAATAGGAAAGAAAGAATAAACAGCTTGACAGACCCCAAAAAGAAATTTGCTCTGAAAAATGACATTTATAACGGTCAATGATATAACATCAAAAACTGAGAAAGCAACACAGTGCTGCTTGTTTTCCTGGTGCAATGCTCTGCGTTTGAATAAATGTGAACAAGATCGGTAACTCAGTGTCGGTGCAGAACCAGCGACCAAACAGGTGCTCCAGGTACTTAGCAGAAATATTGGTCCAACTCTTAGCAGAGAGACCCGAGTAAATGTGAATAGTACACACTCCACTGGCCACCAATCTGCAAGACGTGTCACCAATAACCAGCTATTTACCACCACTGGAATAGACCCACCATGGAAGTTATTCTGAACTCACAAGAAGTCTTAAGGCTATCACGAGGAAGCTCCAAACCTTCATCAATGGATGCTTGAAAGAGAAAGTGGGAGTGAGACAGTCCGACTTTGTCATCAGACAAACAGAGATACAGTAGTCTCCGCCTAAGATCCCACCGCTTACGATCCCGGTTCACTTAAGATCCCGCTGTTTTAAGAAAACTGAATTTTTACTATACAAAAGTCACCCCTATGATCCCGCTCTGATTCACTCTGAAGGTCTACATTCGGCTAAGATCCCGCATTTCAAATCATAATTTGCAGACCAAAAACCCGGGTGGGAGAGCTGATCAACCAAGAGTGAAAAGTTGAGATCAATAAACCGCCGTTGCGTCAAAGATCAGCCACAATCGTGAATGCGATAACATACATGTTGTAAAACTCGATGAAGCGATACAATGTTTGCCCCAGACGGGGTGTGAACTGACCGACATGTTTGTTTTCCCCGAACCTCGCACTCACACCTGAGCTCTCCCCATTGACTTACATCACTCGCTGGGTGGGTAGGACCTACACGTTCGCTCCAGGCGGGATCACATAGAACTGTGAACTCTTCCCTGACCATTGCAGAAGTTGTCTTTACTCCCGAATTTGCGAGACAGACTGAATTTTAATTGGTGTGTTCACAACGTAAAGGTGTGTAACGACAAAGGCGGTTGGGGGGAGGGGGCCCGGTCAGAGATGGAAAGCTATAAATTTTCGACAGGTAAGGGGGAGGGGCAACTGGATAAGCGTAGATCTTGAGACTCATGATAGGATAATAAGTGAAAATGGCACGTCTCATCCCACTATGCACTGTGATAGGTTATCAAGGTTAACCACTCTTTGCTCGCCATACGTCATAAACCCACCAAGCGGTCACGTCAGTTCATTTTAGAGTGGAGGGAGACCATTTTACCGATTGTGAGCCTTAGCATGGGTCACCATAAATTCTTCCCTGGGTTCGTCGGTTAAGATCCCGGTTCGCCTAAGATCCCGCATTTCCTTGCTCCCGAGCACCGGGATCTTAGGCGGAGACTACTGTACTGGTTAAAAGAAAAGGACATCTGCCCAAGTTCTGAACAAAGTTATTCTTGGTCTGCCTCTACCACTTTTGCCTTCCATTTTTTCCGTAAGACAAAGACATTCAAGGTCTAAATATCTAATTATCTATATATCTTTTTCAATTTTGCTAAAATAAAAGTAACGGAACATGCAATTCCAATTAGACCTGATGGGTGCCTATTTCTTCGATTGAGCAGCATTGATTTCAAGGGCAGAGAACTTGAGTGTGTTGAACAAAACTTTTATATCTTCAGACACAAACTGTGAACAAAAAAGCCTTTTTTTCTCTTTTTTTTATGCTCCATGGCTCCAAACATTTGCGTCTTTGACATAAATTCATGTTGAAATAATCACACACCTCTGGCAAAATTTCATCCTCAGATACTCCACTGTATGCAACCACAACGGCAGCTAGTGGAGAACTTAGACTGAATGTCTCGTACAGAAGTGACCTCAACTCTTCACTATGAGCTGCAAAAGAAATTCAGTCAATTCCATTTCGTAATTTAAAACATTGCATCATATCATTCAAGCTGAAGGAAAGAAAGATGTTTGATTACAGAAAAATAGCCAAAAGCATTTTCTCGGAGGTTAAAAAGAAAAATCAATATAATACAAAATCACTCAACAAATATTGCTCTATTTTGGTAAAATGAGCAACAGAATACAGAGATGGAAATTCTATGAGCTGGCATACTGATGTAGATAATAAAATGTATGTAAGCATGGTGATCCCTTTGACAACAACTAAATAAACCCAAAGCAATCCCATTTTTCTTCAAATTAAAAAAAAAACTGTATCAGATTATTAATATCATGATCTTATACCCAAGAGCAAAAATGTACTTCAAGGGCATTATAATGCTATTATACTCTGCACTCTTGTATAACAACTAATACCACCAGTAAGCATAAAATGATTTCACTCAAATTTTTTCAGTCCGAACTTCTGTATGTTAGCTGACTGAAGAATATGGGCCACCTTTAAGATCTGACAATTTAGAGTGAATTTGATCTCTTTGAGGATTCAATATGCTCTTTTTTCTAGTTCATTAGCTGATTCCCATGCCCTGTTATTCTATTCAAACAAGCCTAGTCCAAAGTCCAAACTTATGTTTTCTCAGTTCAGCTGATGCACTGATGCAATAAGTCTAAAAAGAACAAAGACATGTTAAAGGGGTAAAGCCGTAAAAGAATATCTTTATATTTTCCAAACAATTTCAAGGAAAAAAATAACTCTATGGCCTGGTGCATTTAGTGGTTGAAAAAAGCAACACAAACACAGCGATACAAAAGAGGGAAAACGAATAAGTATAACCTACTTAAGGCATTCTCCAACCCCAAGCACTATGATTTCAGAAATAACAAAAACTTCTTACCCAAATTTGACAAAATCTGCACTGCTTTGAGCAGCAGCTCAGGGCGTTCTCTTTCACACACAACCTTCACCAGAAAAGTCAGGCACTCCACCAGTTCCACCTGATCTCCGCTCTGAAGCTGTCGAACATGGCTTGAGCGGGAGGAATACTGTTGCAAAACCTGGGCAGGAAAGAACACAGAGCATCCTTTCAAACTTGACAGACAAAAAATTGGAAACAATAATATTAATACGGTCAGATTTTCGTACCTTGACCAAAGCACAAAAAGACACAATAATACAAACAGAAATACAGAAAAAAGTTCAGGATATCAAAGCATTTCCGAACCTTTTCCTGTTAGAGTGTTTAGAAGCACCATTGCGTAAATACAGTCATTTAGCACAAAATAGCAGTACAGTCCGACAAAAACAACAGAGAGAAAGAAATGAAGTAGGGCCCACCAGTGGTGCTCTTTTTCTCCTGTATTTAATTTTTTCTTCCAGTTACCTAAGTTTTAAAACATATGGATAATTTGAAACTAGCCAATAAAAATTAGCAACCAAACTCTAAGAAGACTGCCCACAATAAAGCAAACAAAAATACCCAAAACTTTATAGCTTCTTTTAGGCAGCATAACAGCTTATCAAATTCAATTATTCAGCGTGACAGCTTTTAATTTCTGTGAGTTTGCATTACAGAATTATAAGAAGCAGAAAAATCTGTATCACAAACATCTAAGCAAAGTCAACAACTACAACACAGAAACATAAGGGCCTGTACCACATCATGACATTTGTTATTTTATGAAATTAACGAATGTAAGGGCTTGCTCTACCCTTTTCAACTGTCTTTGTTCCACATAGTTAATTACACAAAAGTACCTCTATACTATATTTGACATTTGATATCAGATGTTCATTGTAGTAAATTAGGTAAAACAAAAACAAGACTCAGAAGCCTCACAATGAAAATAAATTCAACACACGTTTTGACGTGACAATACATAAGGGCATACTTTTCTTATAATGACATTATAACCTATTTTTTAAACAAACCTCAAGTTGACGTAATAAATATGTCAACTGTCCACTGTTGCTCTGAAAATGGTTGGCACATCGTAGAACCTCCCGCACACAGGACGACGGCTCCATCTGATTTCACTTCAAGAGAAGAATAAAAGTGAGAATGGTAGGCTTACTCTCCATAACTTTTCCAAAATAACTATCACCATTGGAAAGCAAAGCAAAATTATATCTCCATACAGTAGCTACACTTCTGAAAAATAAAAAATAAGGAGAAAAAAAAATCCAGAGGAACAAACTTCTTCTCTGAGAATGGAAGTAAAAGTAAACAAATAAAAACTTTTTACCATCAATCATAGAAGCATGGAGAAAACTGCAAGTCACTTCCACACAAACCAACACAATACTATATTAGCAACAGTTAACAATAACAGCCTAAGTCATTTGTCATAGAAGGTGTAATTTCTAAATTCAGCTCACAATAATTTCTTTGCAATAGCTGATAGCATGGAAATTCGTTGGCACATTTATGATTTTCACACCATTTTATACCTTACAATTTTCTGAAGAACTCTTTCTTCCCCTCACAGGTTGTCTGCTTTTCCTTTACGCTGAGATGTGCGTACAATGTACTGCTGCAACCAAAGCTATCTGAGCAAAGCAAGGAACCTGTTAGGATGAAAAAACTCCAGTGAAACACATTCATTTGTATACATCAACATATATATTTAAACAACAGCGACAATCCATTTCACAAAAAAAGCACACTTATATATATATTATAGCATTCATTAAATTGAAATGATAAACTTGTAAGTAGTAGTAATGAGAGAAAAAAGGGAAAAAAATCACCCTCTTCTTCAATTCAAGTGCCATGTCTGAAACAGATGATTGCCGACAGCGTAGAATTGGGAATGTCCATACTATGCTTGTAGCCATGGTATCATTCAGTTTTTTTTAGTTTTTATCTCATCCACCTCTTAAATACAATTTGAGCAGCAGCCTTGTGCTTAAATCTGCTGAACTGTCACACAGAACAAGATGAAAGAGTAGCTCAGCATATTGCACTCCACACTGTACTGTGCTCTATATTGAAAAGAAGTGAATAGAAGAGAGAAAGCCCAGGGCCAGTGAAGTCATTATGAAACAAACCACCTGCGTTCATCTGCTCATGTCATGTGATGGGTAGGATGTGAACCAGCCATGACCAACAGATGGTCAAGCAACAGACGCACATTCACTCCTTTGTTTTATTAAAAGCCTCTATACACAGTCTCAGTGCATAGGACAACTGATGTAAACATAAGCAAAGAGCACACTGGCGATGCCTCTCTCTGGCCCACAATTAGAGCACAATGTATTTTCTCATGTTTCCCTCCTCTCTGTTTCACTAAATGTAACACTTGATGATGATTGGCCTTTGGAAAAGATTTTGGCTTAAAAAATCAGGTTTGAAAAAAAAAAACCTTCCAGAACAAAAGTAGATCATTAAGCTTTTTTTAAACAGGGTTCAGGAGTCAGGAGAGAGGTAGGCTTCAGGTTCCAGAGGAGGGGGTTCAGAAGGGATGCTGTCCCCTCTGATTTCTTGAAATTTAAGTAGAAACCATAGCTTGAAATAGTAATAGTTTTAGTGGCCACATTTTTGTGTTTGGCAGCCAAAGAAACTAAGCCTACAATTGGTTTGAATCTAAACAGTAGTAGATCTAGTGGTGCATTCGAGAGTGGGATGATAATTTAATATCAGCAATAACATTTATCACAAAAATGTGCTCTCTCAGGTAACTAGCTCTGTCACTCTAGTTGAACCAATGTTCATCTCAAAACCATTCACCTCATCACCTCAGTGATCACCTCAAAGCCATTTCACATCACCTCATCATTAGTGCAGGCCTAGGCCTAGATTATAATATGTGTGTGTGCCTGGTGAAAGGTATCCAAAGGATGCATTTTGAAGAATCCTATATTTTTGCATTTTTATGTACAGAGATCATTTCTGAACAATAATGCTGTTGAACTTTTAAGATATCTTCAGTAGTTTTTGAGATATGGGTGATTTTGTAAGGCACGATACAGAAACAAAGTTTTGAGAAAAACGGCTTTACAATTTCCCCTTTGTTTCAGTTCTGCTTCAAATACACTTTGAGACGACCTGACAACACATTCGCTACTCACAAATCAACTTTTAAAAAAGCAGATAAAAAGATAAAAGAACAGCTTCAAAGTTTTTATATTGAACATTTCGTAGTCAAAACAAAATCACCACCACCTTAAATAATAATTTTCAAGAAATAGGTTTGTGCAGGGCAGAAATAGGCGATACAAGTTTGCTCTCCAAAGAAACAAAAAGATGTGGATGTGCAAAGCTTCACTTTGCTTACACATATTCTCAACAGATATTGAAATGCATAGTACCTGCCATTAAAGAGGGGAGAGAATGACCTAAATTTTGGTGTGAATTGTCATGATTAGATCGACTTTATGAATGGACAAGAGAATTTATCATCCGCAGTGTTTACTCAGAAAAGTAATTTTCTCACGCATTTTGAGGGATTATAATGCAATATAGACTATACCTTGGGCTAAAAAGCATTTTTGAAAATATATTTTTAAGTAAAAGAAAATAACAAAATCCTTCTAAATATCGATATATTAAAGGCTAAAAAATCCATTTGTAATGGAGCTTACTTTTTGTCAATCCTTTTTCGAAGTGACTATTTCTCAGAACGCTCGGGAAAATAAAGTTGACCTCTATTTCTTCAAACGGTTTTCGTTCTCGAGATTTTTTGGCTATTTGCGAGAGTTCTGCGTGTTAGTTCTGCCACTCTGCAAGGACTGGGAAGAATTAGCTTTTTTTTAAAATAGAATTCAATTTCTAGAGCTAGAGATTTTTAGATGTCTGAATAATCAGATACTTCAATTGGGGTTGGGCAACATTCCCAGACTATACTTCATTTGAAAATGCCTTCAAAAGGTACTGCGAGAAAACAAGACTGCTCGACTTTGTCAGTAACCTATTTTGCATATTCAGATCTAGTCACCCCTAAATAAAAGCAAAAACTAAAAAAAAAAATATCCCTCCACGTCCCCATACCCTCTCCCTTCACCCCCGTTCACACCTTATACACACACACACTCACACACATGCGCGCGCCACTCCATTCGCAAATAGGCTAAAAGGCTTCACCAAAAAATATCGAAAACTGAAACCATTCGGAGAAATAGAGTTCAAGTTTATTTTCCCGAGCGTTTGGAGAAATAGAGCCGGCCAACATTTTTTTACCTTTGAACTTTGAAGTTGAAGCCTGAATCTGATAATCTAGATCTATCTCAGTTCAAACAAATACGTCTTTTGAAAGGTGGTTTAGTAAACAGTTCCACTGCTACTGGGCGTACTGCACGCGGTTCTGCGAAGAGAGAGGGTCCATTTGTTGTTAGGTCTTATTGGTATCTTTCACCAGGCACGCTCGAAACATTTTCCGATCGAAGTGGCTAGCCGTACTTAGATCTAGGTTTGGCCCTATCGACTCAAACCTGTTAAGTACACAGGTCTCATTAGATCTAGATCTAGTAATTATTCAGGTTCAAATACATGCAAGTCAGTAAGGCACCTTTTGGTTTTGTCTGAAATACCAATACTTTAGGCATTGCAAACTAAAAATTTCATTTACAATTCAGCCATCAATATTAAGTACGCAGTGGCTATTTTTACGGCGAGCCGTAAAGATAGCCTCCCAGTGAGGCCCAGGCTATTTTTACGGCGTGCCGTAAAGATAGCCTCCCAGTGAGGCCCAGGCTATTTTTACGGCGATCCTCGAAAAGCGACCCTACTCCGCCTCTCATGTACGCGACATGCCTCAATGTATTAGATCAAGGCCTATAGGGGCTGTTCAAAATATAAACTTAAACCTCAGAGGGGAAACGGTGTCTTTGGCTTCTGTAAGAAAAGTGTAAGATTGGGTGGGAAGGTGAGATAAACGTTTTGCTCATGACTGGGAAGAAAAGGTAAAAGAAAAAGTGGATAAATGCCAGTGACAAGACCCAGATCTGCATGATCACTGCATTTCCCCGTTGTTGTTGTTTTTTTGTTTTGTTTAGTTTTTTTGAAATTATGATGAAAATTCTGTAGGTGAACATCTAATTTCTTAATGTTTGTAACTTTGCAACTGTTTTGTTGATCTTTTAGTGTCTTGATGTCTTTTATTTGTAAGGCACGTACCTATTGCATTGACAAGAGTCTCAATGTCTTCCACATATATGCATTCTTTCTGGTTCATATGGTTTAATTAAATTGTATTAACTGAAATGTTCTTTTTACGGCGGTCACAAATTGATAACATAGAACACGTTTTTCAGTCTTATAAATTCCGTCTTGGCTTGTAGGCCTTGTAGGCTACTACCTTATTTGTTATTTTATACTACATTTTACTAAATGACTAAACTAATGTAACATACTTTGAGCTGGTTAAAACCGAGAGTAAGGCACTATAATTAAATGTCCTCTATTATTAGTATTATCATAATTATAGTCTTTATTCTGGACTTAAACAATTCAATGTTTTTATGTTCTTTACTAGGACCTTGTTGTTGTGGGATTCTTTCAAATGATAAAATAGATTGCATTTTTTAAGTTTTTGTGTTTTGTTTTCTGATGAGCTCATTTATTACTGTCCATTTTTACAGGGAACAGCTCACCCCAAGGGTGATTCTTTTTCTGATTCACATTTAGGAAAAAAAATTATACGGGCAAAAGAAATAATGAAGAAAGTAAATTTTGATATGTCTGAAAATATGAAAGTTGCCATGGAATGGAAACAGCACCAACATGCAAAACAAACAATCATTTTTAAAAACCGAAGGCTTCTTACTCTCTAACAAAATTGCATGAAAATTGGTGGAATGGTAGATACAGATACTATGGTCAATCGTACTGAGCAAAATTTTGATATTTGAATGTAAAAAAATATATGTGTTCCTGTACCCTGAAATTGCATCACAATAATTAATAAATTAATCCTTGTGAACACAAAAAAAAAATTTTTAAACCTCTATCAAAAATCTGCTCAGTGCAAATTATAAGGAAGGAGGAACATTTTAAAGGCATTCCCAAGGCGAAAAGTGTTAACTCCAAAATGGCCGCTCTTCTTGTGGGTGTGGTACATGTAGTGATGTCAGTGAATGAGATGATGATGCTGGCAGTGGCAGTGATGATGGTAAAGATAGTGACGAGGAGGGTGGTGGTGATGATAAAGAGAGGGTGAATGATGATGGTGGGGAGAAGAAGGAAGAGGTGGTGGTGGAGGAAGGGAGAAGGAAGATGAAGAAGAGAATAGAATGACGATGAAGAGGAGGAAATGGAAAACCTATGGGGCTGTTCAAATATAATCTTACACTTTTGGGGACTTTTTTAAAACACAAAACCCAATACCACTTTTCTCACATTTGCCTCCAACCCCCACCTACACCAATTTAATATTAGTACTTTTTCCGATCTTCAACTTCCATTATTATTTTAAAGATACCTGTACTATACGTAGCTTTTTTTAACTAGCTTGTAAAAAAAAAATCATTTCAGTTAATACAATTTAATCAAACCATATGGACTAAAAAGAAACGCATATATGTGGAAGACATTGAGACTGTTGTCAATGCAATAGGTACGTGCCTTACAAATAAAAGACATCAAGACATTAAAAGATCAACAAAGCAGTTGAAAAGTTACAAAGAAACATTAAGAAATTAGATATCCACCTACAGAATATTCATCATAATTTCAAAATTATTTGTAAACCCCCCCCCCCCCCCCTCTTTCCCCTCAAAAAAACAAAACAAAAAAACAACAACGGGGATCTGCAGTCATGCAGATCTGGGTCTTGTTACTGGCATTTATCCACTTTTTCTTTTACCTTTTCTTCCCAGTCATGAGCAAAACGTTCATCTCATAGAAGTGTCATATTTGGTTAACCTCCCCACCCAATCTTACACTTTTCTTACAGAAGCCAAAGACACCCTTTCCCCTCTGAGGTGTAAGTTTATATTTTGAACAACCCCTATAGGCCTAGATCTAATACACTGAGGCATGTCGCGTACATGAGAGGCGGAGTAGGGTCGCTTTTCAAGGATCGCCGTAAAAATAGCCTGGGACTCACTGGGAGGCTATCTTTACAGCACGCAGTAAAAATAGCCTGGGAGGCTATCTTTACGGCTCGCCGTAAAAATAGCCACTGCGTATTAAGTACGGCTAGCCTGACAGTACGGCTAGCCTGGCTGTCTACCCGTACTTAAGTACGGCTAGCCAAGAAGTCTAGCCATACTTATCTTAGGCCCTATTAACATTAGAAAACAGGATGTTTAAAATACATGCACTGTCATTAAGGCACCTGGTTTCGTCTCAAATACAAATACTTTAGGAGGTACTGCAAACTAAAAATTTATATTACAATTCAGTAGGCCTATTTTTTTTAATGGTCAGTCTAGCCATCATTAAGAATGGCCACCTCTATTCTCACCCGCAGTGAGAATAGTGCAGGCGAGTCTTGTGGCTATTCTCACCCGGTGCGCGTTCACCAAATTTTGCGTTCACCCTAAACCACAGAATTCTAAACCACAGAATTCTACACTGTGATAACAGAAAAATTGTAGAATTCTGTGCCGTGAACAAACGTTCCATTACAATTGTAGCCTACTAAAAGCGTACAATTTTGTCTGTGGGCAGTGGAGAGAGAGAGAGAAAGAGAGAGAGGAGTAGCGCGAGAATTTCCGGGCAAAACAAAATGGCGACCCGCGTAGTTCGGCTCGATTCGAAAAGTTAAATAGCCGTAGCATCTTTGTAGACAACCAAATTTATTTACTTTTGTGTTTTAACATCATTTTTTAACTTTGTTTTGGTCAATTTGATCGTCCACACCGATAGACAGTATTCAGAAAGAGACGGAGAGAGAGAGAAGAGGGGAGGAGTTGATCTTGCGAGAACTTCCGGGCGGGTGAGAATAGCCACTTTTTAAAGAATAAGTACGGCCAGCCCAGCAGTCTAGTCGTCATTAAGTACGGCTAGCCTCTTCCTTTTCCTATTTTCTGATTTTCACCTAGATTCTAGATCTAGATCTAGAGCCGACTCAGACGAGATAGACTAGACTAGATCTACCACTACAGGGCTAGAGCAGCTTTTTCTGCAGTTTACACTTTTAAACTAGATTTTTCTAGATCTAGATCTAGATCTAGATATAGATTCTAGATCTAGATCTAGATAACTACAATTAACTCGATATGGACGCCTGGACGTACGACTCTAAAGTAACTACAAGTACGACCAGAGCTGTACTGCTGTACGACCAGTCACCGAGTCAGTCAGACCTCAAAAATTCAAGCCCGGACATGACATGCTGTTGAAGACTGAAGAATGCCAGTGACGAGAAGAAGGAAGTGGGGACTTTCTTCATCCTCGGAGTGCCGAGAGAAAGCAGTAAAGGGCTAATTCTGATGGCATCACAAGGGGACTTACTAAATGTTAGTAAAAGTATGTGATTCTGTTACTGATGGATTAGCCCAGGAAAACAACCATCATAGACCTTCTTGTCAATAACATAACAACCGAAAACAGAGTTTAAAATCCCCGCTCGCTTCCGGTTTGAGTAAAAAGTAAAACTAGTATCACGGCGACGCTTCCTGTTGTAATCTGGGCGGGGCGGCTTCTTGCGAAGACCGCTCTGAAATGAGGGTGTCGAGTGGGATTTTGTTGTTGTTGCTGTTTTGTATGTGTGTGTGGTGGGGGGGGGGGGGGTCAGGACATTTCCAGCCTTGTGGTCCAAACTTAGCTGAGTATGGCACAAGTCTACCTCTTCTTCTTCTTCTTCTTCTTCTTCTTCTTCTTCTTCTTCTTCTTCTTCTTCTTCTTCTTCTTCTTCTTCTTCTTCTTCTTCTTCTTCTTCTTCTTCTTCTTCTTCTTCTTCTTCTTCGCACTTCATCCTCCGCCTCCTCCATATTTTTCTTCTTTGTTCTATCTCCTTCTATTCGTCTTCTTACTCTTCTTCTTCTTCTTCTTCTTCTTCTTCTTCTTCTTCTTCTTCTTCTTCTTCTTCTTCTTCTTCTTCTTCTTCTTCTTTTTCTTCTTCTTCTTCTTCTTCTTCTTCTTCTTCTTCTTCTTCTTCTTCTTCTTCTTCTTCTTCTTCTTCTTCTTCTTCTTCTTCTTCTTCTTCTTCTTCTGCTGTTGCTGCTGCTGCTGCTGCTGCTGCTGCTGCTGCTGCTGCTGCTGCTGCTGCTGCTGCTGCTGCTGCTGCTGCTGCTGCTGCTGCTGCTGCTGCTGCTGCTGCTCTACATTGATTATTATTATTATATTATTATTATTATTTTATTTAATGGGACTCTCGATTGGTAAAACAAACTGGACGAGGTGTTAAAATAATGATGGGCACTTCAAACATTTCGATTTTGCCCATCGCCAGCCATGTTGAAAACTGGACTGCTTTTTTTTTAAAACCAACATGCCCATCAAACATCAAACACTTTTAACATCAAAAGCGGAGTAATGCAAGGTTGTGTCTTAGCACCAACCCTTTTTAGCACTTATTTTGCTGTCTTACTGCAACACGCATTCAAAGAGTCACCAGGGGATGTCTTCCTCCACTGGAGAACTGATGGGTCGCTCTTCAATCTTGCTCGACTCATGGCCGAGACAAAGATCAACAAAACAACAGTACGAGACCTTCTCTTCGCCGATGATACTGCTCTTGTTGCTCACAGTGAATCAACCCTACAAACAATGATGGACCGCCTATCAACAGCATGCAAGGTCTTTAGCTTGGTCATCATCAGTCATCAGTGTTAAGAAAACAGTCATCCTTACCCAAGAAGGTGCTGAGCAGAGCCATATATGGCTGAACGACAAGGAACTTGAGACAGTGGACAAGTTCTGTTACCTAGTGTCTACCATCAGCTCTACAACATCACTTGATTATGAGATCAACCTCAGGATAGGGAAAGCAGCAACAACTTTTGGAAGTCTGACAAAACGAGCATGGGAAAACAAAAGATTAACCATCAAAACAAAGATCAAGATTTACGAAACATGTGTCCTCAGCACACTCCTTTATGGATCTGAAACATGGACCTTGTACAGCAGACAAGAAAAGCGCCTCGACATTTTCCATCTCAGATACTGCCGCAAGATCTTAGGCATTTCGTGGCGTGACAAGGTTACAAATGTTGAAGTGTTGGCACGGGCAAACCTCCAGAGCATGACAACTATCCTGTGTTTAAAAAGATTGAGATGACTTGGCCATTTCAAGAGAATGGATGACAACCGGAACATTTTTTATGGGCAGCAATCTGGGCATCATGATCTATAGGCTGGGTCTGGACATCACACGGGCTGGGCTAAGTAGTCTAAATACAATGTAATGCCCCTTACGGTATCATTTTGAGTTCATCGAGATGGAGTGTTTGGGTATAATACGGTGTCTTCAGAAACATGCACGCAGGAGACACGAATGAGTCTTGCACGACCTGATGTTTCTGTTTTGTCCAGCCCAACATGGTGCAAGATCTCATTGTCTGTGTTGAATCATACAATGCCCGTACCGGTTTAATGTATTCGGTCCAAATGAGTGGGCTAAATAAGAAGATGGAATGGACTTCTTATAATAAGATAAGATAATACTTTATTATCCCAGATTGAAAGGAACTTTCGGGCTAATACTGGGCAAGACATGGTTTATCATGGACTGTGCAGTGTTTCTTTTTCTTTCTTTTTTCTTTTTTTTTTTTTTTCTTATTTGTAGATCTAAGCGTTTTACGGAGTTCGCAACTGCATAAGGTTATATAGGCGCGCGGGACACATTAAACATTTTTAATTTTGGTCGGAATTAATTTTCAATTTTGTCCGGGTGGCGGCCGAAGTCTGCTCTTATCGATTTTGGGTCAGGGATCTTTAACTTGCGCAACTAGCACACGTGATCTCCAAGATTGTTCGACCTTATCTGAGAAAGATAGGGGTCTTACCTACTATAAGACCAAGAAGAAGAGTGTGGCTGAAAAACAGCAGTAAGAAGGAGCCGCAAGGAGTAGCAGTAGACAGGCTACGCACAGAGTCAAGAGCCTAGAGGAGGGGGCATACAGGCGGTGGGAGGGGGGGGGCAGAAAGTGGAGATGAAAGCAGGCGACAGAACATGGTTAGGAGAGCAGGAAAGGAGGTGAAATGAGAACATTTTTGGAGAAGAAATACTTCCTTGGCTGTCAGGTTTCGAACCCGGGAACTATTGAATGAGAGGCGAACGTGACAAGGGGTCACAAGAGTCCCCTTCCCGCTCATGTACAGTATACATATAGATGGTCTCTTTCTTTGACCCACGTAAAAAATTCACGCTATGCCGACTGTGTGGTACATAATTACCCCTCTTGCACACACACACACACACACACACACACACACACACACACACACACACACACACACTCACACACACACATACACACACAGGCCTGATATGTACATACGTTCCCCCCCCCCCAAACCCCCCCCCCAAAAAAAAAACAAACATGTTTTTAAATACATGTACTCATGCCGTGTGTATGCATGCGTACGCGCGCGCGTTTGTGTGTGTGAGACAGACAGACAGACAGACAGACAGACAGACAGACAGACAGACAGACAGACAGACAGACAGACAGACAGACAGACAGACAGAGACAAGAGGGGGGGGGGGAGTGTACAGTAAGCCACTGTGCCATAAGCTAGAACGGCACCTTTGAAGGAAAAAAAATTGAAAGTGGGAAAATATTAGGGGAGAGGGGGGGATCTAAAGTTTCCCACGCTCTCTCTCTCTCTCTCTCTCTCTCTCTCGCTCTCGCTCTCGCTCTCTCTCTCTCTCTCTCTCTCTCTCTCTCTCTCTCTCTCTCTCTCTCTCTCTCTCTCTCTCTCTCTTCTCCCCCCGACGATATAGCCCGCACTACAGGTTTTACCAGCAGATCCAGTGCCGGCTAGATAGGCTACATCTAGCTAGACTGCACTGAACAGATCCAACAAAAAAACATAATACAGCGTACAACTATAATTAATTAACATGTCATCTCAGCTGTTCCCGGTGTTCTTCATATTATCATCCTCTTATTATCAATATAATATATTGTTGAAATTACCCTCGCCACCATTCTCAGATTCGCAATGGATCATTATTCAAAGTCACCAAACACTGTCTTTCTAATCTAAGTTTAATCTAAATAGGCTTCCTGGTGCACTATAATAATATGCCCAACATGTACATGTATATTATATTATGTACTACTTGTATAACTTGTATAACACTTCGATTAGACCCCCTTTCACTATCGTCTAATTTTACCGTCGTGTTTGCTACCAACGACGGAGATAGCTTGTTCAGTTTTAGTAAGAGTTTTACGGCACTTGCAAACATAAATTAAATATTATATCATCATGTAATTTGTACCGAAAATTAGAGGCGAATTGTTACCTTACTTTAGTGAGTTGCTTTATTTAGTATTTATAGAAAAGGAGTAGAGATAAGGAAGATAGGCCTAGGCTCATATGTTTGATTGGAAAGAGGAGCAAACGTTGACCACGTCTAGGCTAGGCCTAGTACATGTACATGTACATGTATAGACTTCAAGCACATGGACACGACCGGTCCTTTGTCCACCTGACTTGGGAATCCGGGGGAAAACCAGAGGCCAGAGACCGAGCAGATTGGCCAGTTGCTTCCCCTTTGGTTGGCATTCGGCTGGGCTATTTCGGCATCGTTTTTAGTCTAAGTTCTGACGTCATAACATGGCGGCGACCTGTAGCTAATCGGATTCTTGAGAAGTGTGAATACTTTCGAAGCCTATCTCTTCACCAGGAGCTACTTGAAACTCTATTTTGTGTGCAACTGTTGTCATCAGGTAAGAGACATGAAGTTGTACTATGGACTGATAAAAAACAGTATCTTGTAGATCTATTTGTAGCATGGTCTTGTAGTGAATCTAATATGAATGCTCGATGTGCCGGTGGTTGGCACTCGGGTGTAAATTGAGTCATTTTGACTTCTTGTCCTCACAATCACTAACGAAAGATTTCATTTCAGTTTCAGTTTGGAAGAAGTGCAAGAAGGAATGGGGAGTGAAAAGTTTTAGCTTTTACTAGCTAGATCTAGATCTAGATGATTGTGCTTCATACGTTTAGACACTATAAATACTTTAGTTTAGACTTAAGACTAAGATTTATCAACAATTTGTATCCTACTTGACTGCAAGTCTTCAACTACAGTTACAGAGTTCTTAGTGTAAACTCAACTGTTTCCGTTGAACTTGAGGTAGAATACCGTAGATCTAGATCTAGATCTAGATCTAGATATATAGATCTAGATCTAGATCTAAATTTAATTTAATTAGCCTAAGGCATAGGTTACAACTTATTAAGGTTTCAGGATTCTTGTTGTTACGAGCCTTCTTGTTAAAAGTTCTAAACCTCTGCCTCTGTAATTCTGATCTCGGTGTGTGTATGTAATAATAGATCTAATCTAGAATCTATCTAATCTAGACTAATTTGGCCTAAATTATTGGCCGGCTCTTCCGAACGCTCGGGAAAATATAACTTTTCTGAACTCTATTTCTCAGAACGGTTTCCGTTCTCCGTTCTTGAGATTCGTTGATAATTTGCGAATGGCGTGGCCTGCGTATGTGTGAGTGAGTGTGCGCGCACGCTTGTGTGTGTGTGTGTGTGTGTGTGTGTGCGTGTGTGTGTGTGTGTGTGTAAGGTGTGAACGAGGTGTGGGGATGGGGAGGGATTTTTTAAAAGGGAATGTATACGGACCCGGTAACCGGGAACAAAGTCACAAAGTATACAGACCCGGTAGGTGAACTCTTGTGATTTCGGAGAGTTTCAGCGTCCTCTTGGCTCAGGGTAGACCTAGGTTCTTCTAAATCTATGGTCTAGATCTAGATCTAAGCAGACAGACATATAAATCTTTCCTCTAGTTTCGCGGCTAACCTAGAGATCTAAATGAAGATTGCGGATGTCTTTTCGATTAACGATGGTTTTTCCTCCGTTTTGGAGTTGGAGGAATCACAATTTGAAGA